CAAATCTCACGGGCTCAAGGTTGACTCAGCCTTCCATCCTTCCGAGGCGGGTAAAATGAGAACCCGGATTGTTTGTGCCAATATGCTGACTCTGTAAAGCGCTTAGAGAGGGCTGAAAGCCCTATGAAGCGGTATATAAGTCTAACTGCTATTGCTATTGCTACTTTCCCCCACCCACTTTCCCAGGTTAGAATGACCTCTTAGAATGGCCATGGTGTATCGAACAGTTGTGTCTAAATAATGAAACATTACTCATTTGTTTTTATTGCAGAATGTTATTGGATGGTATAGATTTAGAAGGAATACTCAGCAACAAATGTCATATAGAGAACACATCATCCATAAACAGCTGACACAGATACTTGGAGTACCTGACCTTGTCTTCCTTCTCTTCAGTTTCATCTCCACTGCAAATAATTCTACACATGCTTTAGAATATGTCCTTTTTAGACCAAATCGAAGGTAAATGATTTTTATTATACAGGGGAGAAATTTGTATGAACTGTATTTTTAATAAAATAATAATTAAACACAGGAAAAAGTGAATTATATCAGATACCTATATTAACCCTAGTGTTCTAGCATGTCATGAAAGTAAATTTGGTTCTCTATGGCGCTTTGTTGTAAATACAGTTACAACTTGCAAGATTAAATCAATAAAGTAATTAACTAAAATTTTAGCTGAAAAACAGTGAAAGAGCCATTTTAATCAATGGAATTGATCCCTTGTTTTTAATTGAAATAGTTTTCTTCTAGCCTATTTCTCTATTTGAGACAAAAGAAAGAAATTATTCATTTTTTAAAACCATTAGGTATAATTTAGATATCACTGAAAAAGCAAACCAATTTTTTGCATTTTTGTAGTATTACAAAAAGAATGAATGTACAGTTAATGGAAAATTAATAGTTGTCTACTATCTAGGCAATTGTTAAATTAATGGTTACTCTAGATTCAATTTAAACATTATAGTTAACTATAGATACAGTTAATAGTAACCTTTACTCCCTAACTTTTTTTAAAAAATCTGGTTAACATGAATTACTGCTGTGCTTAAAATCTCAGGAATTTCTGTGATTTTTATTAATTATTTGAACTTTTTTTATGCAGGTATAATCAAAGAGTGTCACTTACTATCCCTAACTTGGGCAACACAAGCCAGCAAGAATATAAAGTCTCTTCAGTGCCAAATACTTCTCAAAACTATACCAAAGTTATTAAAGAACATGGGTAAGCAATGTTTCCAAACCTATTCATTGCCAATTTGGCATATTAAGAAATAAACATAGATTTCAATATGCATGCACTTTTCTTGATTATCTTCTTTTGTTATATCATTGCTAGTTTCTAGCAATGTAGGAAAGTGTTGATCAAGGTTAGCATAAGAAACATAGGGACATGCCAGGGTATCCTGCACATAGAATATACATGCAGGTATCTGCAGCATATAGACTCATGTCGTCTTTTATAGTTGTATTTTTTTTCCAGTGTAATTTAATGGGAATGAGGAGAAATGAAGAATGCTTTTTTAATGTGTAAGTTAAATTTCTCTAAGGTGTATTTCTTTGACGCTATCAATGCGGGCTGAGCAAAAACAATTGGATTTGCAAACAGCCATATCAGTTCATGCATTGGTGTTGTAGAAAAGACGGAACATGCAAGCCAGCTCTTCAGAGAAGGAAAGTTTATTTGCNAGAAAATTTTACTACTAACAGAGATACAAAAGTGGGTGGTAGGTATAAAAACGTTGACTACCCCTGTTCTATTTGGATGGAAGATAATATTAGACATCAACAATAATATTACATTTTTTGTTTCTTTCCTTATATCACAAATGTTTCCTACATTTGGGATTCTGACAGCATGTTTAACATGTGGTACAACTTCTCTTCTTTTTCTGTTGCATCTGTTGCTTCCTCGATTAATTAAATTGCATCCTTTAAATTACCTTATTCTAGTCATAGGAATCATTCTTTCAGATTACTATTACACCTAATAAATCATATTTGTCTTTGATACTAACTGATCCTCTTTTTTATTTCCCATACTCTGTACATTAGCATATAAATAGTAAAAGGCATGAAATTTATGAACCATGGTTGTTTTGATTTTTTCTCTGAATGGTTGAAGAGGTTCCATTTCAGGGCATAACTATTTAAGCATAGAAACAAGTCAATTGTTTTTTCAAAGTTGTTTTTAATTTAAACTGCAGTAGAAAATGAACAGTTTATTTCAATCAAAAAGAATGCTGGTAAAATTGCCTGCAGCATCAAATCAAATCATTGTTACTGATTTCAACTTATAAAGCAATGGTAGATAAACTAATAAAGACAAATATGTAACTTATCATTTTCCTCAGTGAATAAGTGAACTTTTCTGACTCATTTCTTCAATTGAGTTCTCTTTATCTAGTTTTAGGACTTCTGTGGGAAACAAATCACATTTTAGGATGTTGTTATTGTTAGTTGCGAAGTCGTGTCCGACCCATCACGACACCATGGACAACGTTCCTCCATGCCTTCCTGTCCTCTACCATCCCCCAGAGTCCATTTAAGCTCACACTGATTGCTTCAGTGACTCCATCCAGCCGCCTCATTCTCTATCGTCCCTTTCTTCTTTTGCCCTCCATCGTTCCCAGCATTAGGCTCTTCTCCAGTGAGTCCTTCCTTCTCATTAGGTGGCCAAAATATTTGAGTTTCATCTTCAGGATCTGGCCTTGTCAGGGTTGATCTCTTCCAGGACTGACTGGTTTGATCGCCTTGAAGTCCAAGGGATTCGCAGGACATATTTATGCAGAAAGACTGAAAATTCAAACAGCTTCACACTGTACCTAACACAATCAAAGCAAAGGGTTTTTTAAATCACATTTTGTATTTTCCAAGACCTCAAATGTATTTTTTTTGAATGGCTCAACATTCTCTTCCTCTTCCAAGTTAAACCATTACAAGATAACCTAGGGACTATAGTCAAGCAGGATAATGAAAACCCTCTGTCTTTCATTCTGCTGCTTGAAAATAGAGTTAAAATTCTTTTTTTTTTCTACAGACATCAGTTGATGCCCATAAGTGCCCAGTTCCTGAAATATAAGTGTTTCTTTACTAATGGTATGCTTCTGCAATTAGTTACTGAAGCTTACCAGGTGATCAGAAGCAAGCCGCCTTACTAACCTCATTGCTCTAGAACAGTGTTTCTCAACCTTGGCGACTTTAAATCCTGTGGACTTCAACTCCCAGAATCCCCCAGCCAGCATAGCTGGCTGGG